CAATCTTCATTCAAAATTGAAGCCAGCAAATGCAACGATTAGTCTATTTTGATTCAACGGATAGATTATCCAATCCAGCTATAAATATCATCCTTGGAAGACTGGGGAAATATAGACAATAACTCATCAACAATAAGAAGAACAACCACAAAGAGGCTACCTCATTCACAGTTAGCCCAAAAAGCTTGATAAAGAGAGATTTCTAAACTCCTTATCGAGAAGCAAACTTCTCCTCCTTCCAAAAAGCTATAGTGTAAATACTTGAAGGTTTCCTTGCCTCAAGTACCACACCACGTTGAAGGATACAACTTTTGATCAAACTTATTGATTGAAAGGGGGTAGGTCAACTTTCTTACAAGTTGGTCTTGCAAGTCCTATTGTTCGGACCTTGCAGTTGTTGAAGAAGCGTGACCTTTGAAGGAACAACAAAGCCAGCACGAGTGCAGTAGCAACATTGGCCTTGCGAAGATATACCGTGCAGAAATTCACACAAGTTTAATTGTTGGTTCATTATTCAACAACCAACTACATAGTGGATTTTGAGGACGTAGAAGGATTACCTCACCTTCGAACCTCGTTAAAGTTTGCGTGTCTCTCTGTTTTATCTTTATTCGTACTTGCAATTATATTAACTGAGAAAACTAACCCATCCATATTGATTACTGCTCACTCTACCCACCAACTTCCGCACATAATCTAGAGTTCACAAGAACTCTAGATTAACACTCATTTTCAAGTTGATTCTCAAGCCGGGTTCAAGTTGATGCTCAAGCCGGGTTCATTCGTACCTCATTGCACTTTGTTTCCAATGATCAAGTTGATGCTCAAGCCGGGTTCAAGGCTTACGCCGACCCACACATCATTGAGGGGAGAACCCTAAAACAAGATGATATCCCGGTTGCCGTTCTTGAACTCATTCAAGAACAAGGTTGGAGTTTCTTTCTTCAACTCTAAGCCCCCGTTTACCTTGAACTTGTTCATCAATTTTATTCTTCGATGAAATATCATCCCCAAGACCCTTCCATTACCGCCATTGCATCCGGCAAAACCTTCGGATTCAACACCCAAAACCTTTCCGAATGGTATCATCTAGAGCGTCAAGGAGTCTCCACTTATTGCAAAAAGGGGTGGATTACCGACTCACGAGACTTTAACTCCGATTCTTTCCTCCGAGTGTTAAATAACATTGCCCTTGACCATGTCTTTGAGGACCCACACTACTTTCTTCGTAGGCCAAATGTCCAAGACTTACCCGCAAATAGGTTCATCCTCTTCAAAATCCTCAAAGAAAATGTCATCCCGGTCCTTAACAAAGATAAACAAGTTGGGGTTTATGAATCCACTCTCCTATATTTGCTCCTCACTCACAAGAAAATCAATCTCCCTTCCATAATCCTTAAACACATGCACGAATGCTCCAATCGCCTAAACAAACCCTTTGGCATGCTTCTTACCCACATCTTTGCCAAGAGAGAAATTCTTGAGGTGCGCCCGTCCCGCGTCCGCTATCTTGATGCAGAGTGCCTTGGCTATTGTGGCCTTGTAAAGATTGGAGAGGAATATTAAATGAAGAAGGAGTTTCAAAATCTTGATGAGGCGACACGAGCGGAGTATGGTCCTCGGCGTTCTATGTCATCTTTACCTTCCACTTCACGAGCACCCCGAGCCGTAGACGAAGAAAATGCCAACACGGAGGTCCCCGTTCGTGCTCCACGGGTCAAATGCTCAAAGTCAGCATCTCATGCTTCCTCGGCCTCTCTCATGCATCGTCACTCTCACATGTCTTCCACTTCCAAAAATCCCTTTAAGAAGTTCAAGAAATTTATCCTCAAATGGCTCCGATGAGGAAACTTCAGGAAAGCCTCGATGACCTCTCGGAGCGGATGAAGAAGATGGAGGACCGTGAGAATCGCCAAAAGAAAAACGAGGATCGTGCTTATAGAAGCCGCTAAGTGTTGAGCATTTGACAATATGATCAAACATTATGTATTTTGCCTAAGTTTTAAAACTCTTTGTCATGTTTATGTTTCAAACTCTTATTTATGCACTTGTATGACTCAAACTCCTTTGTTATGATTATGCTTATGATTTGCTTGCTTATGGCTTGATTATGCTTGATTTGCTAATTGTTGCCGTGATGAATGCTTATGTGTTGAAACTCATGTTTTTGGTACCCCGCCTTTTTGAATGTTGCCAAAAGGGGGAGAAATATTCAGCTTTCATATACATACATTTAGGGGGAGTTTTTTTTTCAAAATATCAAGTGCATCAACTTAAGGGGAGTTTAAAATCAATATATGCTTTTCACAATATGTTTGTGCATTTGATTATTATATTCGAAAGCCTTATTTGTCAACATCAAAAAGGGGGAGATTGTTGGCCTTGAATGTCGTATCCCGTAACCGTTTTGATGTGCCAAATAAGTCTTCCAAATGCTACTAACATCATTTGCAGGAAGAAAACAAACGCCAAACATCTATTAGCTTGTTTAGCATCACCGAGATATACTCCTACGAATTTAGAAACTATTGTGTAAAGGTAATGATATATTTTAATGATTTACTTATGCCCTTTCACTCAAAGATTATTTTTAAAATATCAAATATATTCTTAGTTGGGGTTATTTTGAAAACCGAACATGAAAAACGTGTTTTGGAAAATTTACACAGGCCTAACGGTACCTGGCTAACGTGTACACGGCACCAGGGTACCGCCGGTAGCCAAGTGAACGTACCGCTGTACGTTTCACCTGAGTGTTACATGGTACCCCCCCTACCGTGCAACAGTACCTGGGTACCGGACGGTAGGTAGAGACGGTTGGCCACCCCCGTCCTAACCAGGTACCGCCAGAGGCGAACCAAACCTTTGGCTTATACGGTACCCCCAAACGGTAGGCTGTACCGTGGTCATAGTACCTAGGTACCGGACGGTACTGACCCTACCGTGAATGGTACTGGATCCGTTGTAATCACTGTAGCAAATTGCCAATTTAAATTCAAATCACCCCTAATCACTTCCTAACGGCTTTTAACGTTAAAAACTCAAATGTTAACATTCCAAAGTCCTAAATAGACCCCCTTTAAGTCTCATTTTATAAATAACAACTTCCCAATCAAATCTAAAGCCTCTTTCTCTATTCTTGAGTGTTCTTAAAGCTTTGTTCTTATTTTTCTCATTCTTTTGAGTAAAAAGCTTTTATTATTTTCATACACTCACACACAAGGGCATTTGTGCTTCATTATTTTATATCTTGCCTATATAGGCTTTTGTTGTTGTTGATTTAATTTTTTGTTCTTCTCCTACCCAATTCATATTTGTTATCATTTTAGTAGAGAAGCAACACCAATCTTTTATTGATTTGTATAAGGTATGGATAGCCTTTAAATCCTCATTGTAAGGTTGAAGATAGCCTTAAAATCTTCAGTTGTAAACAGTTGAGATAGCCGTAGCAAAATCTCATTTGCTTATTGGCAAGGGTTGTTTGCCAAACCTCGTTTGAGTCTTCTTAGTGAAGCCAAACAAGTTAGTGGAGGTTAAATCCTTGAGGAGGAGCCTCGAGGTACTGGAGTAGGGAGTTCCCGAAGTAGAAAATCGCTTGTGTCATATTTTTATCTTTTATACTTTTCTTGCTCTTTTTCCGCTACTACTTTGCGCATAAGTTTTTGTTTTTACGAAAAACTTGCAAACACCCTATTTCACCCCCCCTCTTAGGGTGTAAACCGACTTTCAACAACTCCCGGAAGGATTCAAGGAATATCATGCCTTGATCTTTAATTTCAAGCTCACAAATAATGAGGCAGAGTATGAAGCATTGATAGGGGGCCTGAGGTTGGCCAAAACCCTACAAATCACCTACCTTAGGATTAAGTCCGTTTCAAGTTTGGTGGTAGGCCAAATCAATGGCAACATGGAGGCCAAGGGATAAAAAATGTAGAGGTACAGAGACTTGGCGATGTTGGAAAACATTTTCACTTTGACATTTTGCTAATGACAATGTTTGTTTATGTTTAGGTTTTGATATTGACAAACCGTCGGGAACATGGAACAAAATGAAAAGATTCAAAGAGATAGAAAAATTTCTTTGAAGAAACACAAAGCACAAGAAAGGCATTGGCGTTACTAAAGATGGCGACATTGGCGCTTTGAAGACGTTTTCTAAAGACTTAGGTTTTTATTGTAACAAGCTCATTCAATTTCTCTATGTCATGGATCAAAACAAAATATGTTTTTCATGCATAAAATTAGTGTTTTCATAAATGTTTTTTAAGTTTCTAAAACCCATGCTTCTTGCTTAACCAAAACCATAACCATCGGTTATCGGCGTTCGGCTATAGCGTTCGGTTTTCGGCATTGGTTTTAGCAAAATGGTTTTTTATTTTTTGATTCTGAACACATTTAAAGGTTTTCCAAATGATTAGTTTTCAAAAACCATAACCTTTGTTTTCCGGCGTTGGTTATCGGCATTCGGCGTTGGTTTTTAGCGTCCAAATCAATCGAGTGGTTTTTAAGATTTTATGATTTTATTTTACTTATGTTCATATTAAAATAGTTCTCCAACAAAAAAATTTTAAAAAACACCTTTCGTTTTTGGTGTTTTGGTGAAAACCATGTGAAATGACATAAACTTGGCTAGCCGTGGTTTTTACCTTAATGAAGTGGTTTTTAAGTTTTTATACTTGGTTTCTACATAAAATACATTTTATAAGAGTTTCCAACACTTAGTTTTCATTTTGGAGAACTTTTATTTTTGACATTGGTTTTCGGCGTTGGCAGCCAAACCATGGTTCCAGTGATCCAACCCAACATGCATGTAAGAAATCCCAACAGCTATGTTGGTATTCAGAAGTCCTGGGCAGTAGGTTTTTGAACAGAGATTTTTTCAAATGACCGTTGGGCTATTTAAGACAAAATCGTTCCATATTTGAAAGTCAAATACCCCAACATCGATGTAGACTTCTAGACATCGATGTTTTGATGACCGTTAGCCATTTTTAAAGGAAAGTCAAAGCCAAAACAATGATGTTCACTATTTGAACAGCGATGTTAGGCTAAAATTCTGTAGACCAACTTTGATTTGATTTCCACAAATCATGCCATTAAACCCCAATCAACTTCCATCCGTTACACATCATTTTTGGGTATAAATAGGGGTCTTTTGGGTCTACTTTTCACAACAATTCCTCACACATTTCATAGCTTTACATTGCACCATTCCATAACTTTTTTACATAGCTTTTTAGAGCCATTTCTTGAGGAAGTGAGTGTGTTCTTGATCTAAATTAGTTTACTCATATTCTACTCTTTAAGAGAGTTTTTGTTCTTGAGTGTTTTAGTGTTGTGAACACTTTAAGGGAGGTTTGTTCCCTTGGTTGTACGAAAGAAGGGAATATTCCTTCGGGGTGAAGTCTTGGAGTGCGGTATCTCCGAGCAAGTGTATTGAGGCTTGTGGGACTCGAGTTCTCAAGTTGTAACGGTTTGTTAAGTACCCGTAAGCTTAACGGAAGTAGTGTAGCTCGAGAGAGTCTCTCGGGAGACTGGACTAGCCACACGTTGTGGTGAACTAGGGTAAAATCGGTGTGCCTCTTCCTTGCTTTTTACTTTACGCTTTTAATTTTTATTCCCGCGTCATTTTCGTTTCAAACGCTATTCACCCCTCCTCTAGCGTTGGGACGTTTTTCTAACAATTGGTATCAGAGCCTAACTCTCTAAAAGCTTTAACGGGTTGAGAGAACAATCTATATTTCTTTTGAGAATGTTGAGCGCATGATCTTTTAGCGAAGGACACTCTTTGACAAGGCCACCACTCTTTAGTGGATTAAATTACTCTTATTGGATGGCAATCAACAACGGAGTTTCTCTGCCAACAAAGAAGGTGGGCAAGAAAAGAGTAAAGAAACTCGAGGAGGAGTACAATGAAGAAGAAATCAAGAAGGTGGAACAAGATGCTAAAGCTCTTAACCTTCTACTTTGTGCAATTGATGCGCAAGAACTTCAAAAGTTCTCCGGATATTAAATGGCTAAGAATCTATGGGATAACATTCGTGAGAAATACGGAACTCTACAAGGAGAAAAAGAAGCAACCCATATTTGTCTCATGGCCAATGAGGAAGAAGAGGTAAGTACTTCTAAGTCTCCTTCTTTTGAAGAATTACAAGAAGCTTTTAAAGAACTATTTGGTGAATTAAAGAAAGTTTCAAAAATTGCCAAAGAGGCTAAGGCTAAACTTCATGCTTTGGAGGAAGAAAATAAATTTTTAGAAAATGATAATCTTGACCTTAAAAATAAGATTAAGGAAATGAATGAAGCTTCTTCCTTTGACCAAAGTTCTATTTGTTCCTCTTGCGAGTCTTTAAAAATAGTGAATGTAGAACTTAAGAGCACCATAGAAAAACTTAAGGTAGAAGAGCCTAAGAAACTTGGTGTAGAAGTTAAGAATGATAAACCACCTAGAAGAACAAATAATTCTAGGAATAACAAAATTTATTTTAGAAAGAATAAAAATAATAAGTTGAGACAACCTAGAAATGACTCTAAGATTTTTATAAGTGATAGGAATAATTTGAGACAACCTAGAAATGAGTCTAGGAACTTAATCCAAATGTAGTTTGCCATTATTGCTCTAAGATAGGACACATAGCACCCGTTTGTTTTACCAAACATAGGGATTTGTTTTATAGCTATGATTATTATTTGACTAACCCTCAAGGACCCAAAAGCTTTTGGGTACCTAAAAATTATTTTTAGATGCATATGTAGGTGTGTTTGAAGACCACATTTTTGTAGGTTGAGCCAAAAATTGAATTTGTGCATAAAAATAATTTTTCAAATAGACAAAATAATTCTAGGACACCTAGAAGAGAGAATTTTCAAAAACCAATATTTTCTCAAAATAGGATGAATATGGTTAGGCCCCCTAGCAACTATTATCAACCTAGGAGGATGCACAACCCAAACGTAGTTTGTCACTATTGCAATAGGGTAGGACATATAGCTCCTGTTTGCTTTACTAGGCATAAGCATTGGGCACAAAATGAATCACACTACCACTTTGCACCTAACACTCAAGGACCCAAAAAGACTTGGGTACCTAAATCTTATTAAATCATTTTTTGTAGGTGTGCTTGAAGGCGTCAAGTGTACTTTGGTACCTTGATAGCGGATGCTCCAAGCACATGACTGGAGATGCATCCAAGTTCCTACAAATCAAACCCGCTAAAGGAAGAAACATAGTCTTTGGAGATAATAGCAAGGGAAAAATTATCGGCGTCGGTTCAGTAGGTAAGTCCGAAGACTCTTCTATAGATAATGTCTTGCTTGTTAAAGGTCTTAAACACAATCTCTTGAGCATAAGTGAATTATGTGACAAGGGAAACCGTGTGACCTTCGATTCAAAATCATGCACGGTAGAACGCCTTAGTGACAATAAGGTCATTCTACGTGGTGATAGAATCGATAACATATATATGGTTAACTTAGACAAATCTCCTTCCGGCTTTGCTAAGTGCCTCATGAGTAAAGAGGAAGACACTTGGTTATGGCACCGAAGGGTAGCTCATATGAACATGAACCTTTTGAACAAATTGGTTTCACAAGACTTAGTAATTGGCATTCCAAAACTTAAGTTTGAAAAAGACACCATATGTGATGCATGTCAAAAGGGGAAGCAAGTTCGGGCTTCGTTTAAGTCTAAGAACGTTGTTTCAACGTCTAGACCGCTTCAAATTTTGCACATGGATCTCTTTGGTCCTTCTAGAACGAAAAGTTTTGGTGGTAATTACTTTGCGTTTGTGATTGTCGATGACTACTCTAGGTTTACATGGACCTTGTTTCTAACTCACAAAAGTGAGGCATTTCACGCTTTCAAAAATTTTCTAAAGAAAGTTCAAAATGAAAAAGAAACAACCATAGTAGCCATAAGAAGCGATCATGGGGGAGAGTTCGAACAAATCTATTCAGATTTATGTGACGAACTCGGCATTGATCATAATTTCTCAGCCCCACGTACACCACAACAAAATGGAGTGGTGGAATGTAAAAATAGATGTCTCGAAGAGATGGCTAGAACTTTGATCAATGAGGCAAAAATCCCTAAGTATTTTTGGGCGGATGCCGTGAGTACCGCAAGCTACGTGTTAAACCGAGCCGTCATTCGACCGATACTCATGAAAACGCCTTATGAACTATACAAAGGGAGAAAGCCAAACCTTTCCCATCTTCGAGTCTTCGGCTGCAAATGTTTTATTCATAACAATTGTAAAGACAACTTAGGCAAATTTGATGCCAAGTCGGATGAAGGCATTTTTCTGGGTTATTCACTTCGTAGCAAGGCCTATAGAGTCTTTAATAAACGAACCTTGACCATTGAGGAGTCCCCTCACGTTGTATTTTCCGAAGATAATCCTCGCTTGGTGAGAAAGGATATTTGGGATGATCTTGCAGATTCATTAGAGAGAATACACGTCGAAGACGATGAAGAGAGCACGGGAATATACACCAACACGCAGTCGCAAATTGGGGAGATACCTCAAGCGACTAACCAAGGTGAAGAAGAAAATCAAGAGAAAGAAGAAGAACAAGAGGAACACGAAGAAGAAGCAACTGAGCTTCCCATTGCATGGAGAACGAACAAGAACCATCCGCTTGACCAGGTAATCGGTAGCATCAACCGCGGGGTAAGTACTCGTAACTCACTTAGGGACACCGTAGGACACATGGCTTTTGTTTCTCAAACTGAACCTACAACCATTTCCGAAGCAATAAACGATGAACATTTGACCTTGGCCATGCAAGAGGAGCTAAACCAATTCAAACAGAATGATGTTTGGGAATTGGTGCTAAGGCCCGATGATCGTACGATTATTGGTACGAAATGGGTGTTCCGTAACAAACTTGATGAAAATGGAATAATCACTAGAAACAAAGCTAGGCTCGTAGCTAAAGGCTAAAATCAAGAAGAAGACATTGATTTCGAAGAAACTTATGCACCCGTAGCACGTTTAGATGCTATTCGTTTACTTATTGCTTTTGCTTCGTCTATGGATTTTAAACTTTATCAAATGGATGTTAAGAGTGCCTTCCTCAATGGTTTTATTCAAGAGGAAGTGTATGTTGACCAGCCCCTGGGGTTTGAAGACTTTGAGTTTCCGGACCATGTCTTCAAACTCAAGAACTACGGTCTTAAACAAGCACCCCGTGCTTTTGGATAGTGGTTTCCAAAGGGGAAAGGTTGACACTACACTTTTTATCAAGAGTAAAAACAATAACATCCTTTTGGTTCAAGTTTATGTAGACGATATTATATTCGGTGCTACTAACGAGTCTTTGTGCAAGGAATTCTCATTGTTAATGACAAGCGAGTTTGAAATGTCGATGATGGGTGAGCTCACATTCTTTTTGGGACTCCAAGTCAAGCAAATGAAAGATGGCACGTTCATTTGTCAAACTAAATATTGCAAGGAGCTCCTAAAACGGTTTGAAATGGACAACGCCAAAGCCATGGCGGCCCCGATGAGCACGTCTGACCATGTAGACAAAGACGAGAAAGGTAAGGAAGTAGAAGTCAAAAAGTATCGAGGTATGATCGGATCCCTTCTCTATCTTACCGCTAGTAGGCGGGATATCATGTTTAGCGTATGCCTTTGCCCAAGGTATCAATCATGTCCGAAGGAATCGCACTTAATAGCAGTGAAACGGATCATGAAATACCTTGTTGGCACGGTTAACATTGGATTGTGGTATCCAAAAGGCTCTTCGTGTCATCTCGTTGGTTATTTCGACTCGGACTTTTCCGGTTGCAAATTGGACCGTAAAAGTACGAGTGGGACTTGCCACTTACTTGGTAGCTCCTTAGTTTCATGGTTTAGTAAGAAACAAGTCAGTGTTGCGTTATCCACAACCAAAGCGGAATACGTTGCCGCCGGTAGTTGTTGTGCTCAAATCCTTTGGATGAAGCAACAACTCGTGGATTATGGCCTTAGTATCAGTCACGTTCCACTCCGTTGTGATAATACTAGCGCCATAAGCTTGACGAAGAACCCCGTTCTTCATTCAAGGACGAAACACATTGACATTAGGCACCATTTCATTACAGATCATGTTCTCAAAGGTGATGTCGAAATTGAGTTTATTGAAACACACAACCAATTAGCCGACATTTTCACAAAACCTTTAGAGAAAGAGTCGTTCTTCCGCATTCGTAGTGAACTCGGAATCCTTGACTCCACGATGATCTAATTTGTGCATTTATCACTCTTTTTTTCTTTGCTTGAACGTTTGCTAACTTGAGCGTCGGAGGGTTTTCTAACTCTTTTTTGCAGGGACGGTTCGAGGTGAAGGAATCCGGAAGTCAGGGGAACCAGCGATGGGTGGGTTATACCATCGCTAGGAGGAAAGTCTTTTTTTTTCAGAACCCCTCTTCCCATCGATGGGTACTTTCTCCCATCGATGGGTAATTGACTCTATTTTTTAAAATTTCTAACGGATTTCCAGAAACCCTTTACCCATCGATGGGTATTTTATCCCATCGCTGGGTGAATGACTTATGTTTTTAAAATTTTTTCCAGAACCTCCCCACCCATCGATGGGTACTTCCTCCCATTGCTGGGTGTTTGACATTTTTTTTAAAATTTTTAACGGATTCTCAACCCAGCGATGGGATGGTATTAACATCGTTGGGAAAGCTTTTGTCAGTTAATCCTCTCTTTCCAGAATCCACCTTCCCATCGATGGGAGAATCCACACATCGCTGGGAAGGAAGTTTTAAATTTCTTACTCGCTTTCCAGTAGCGCCCTTCCCATCGATGGGAAGATCTACCCATCGTTGGGAAGGCTGGTGAAACTCAAAATTTCAGAATCGTTGGCAGCATCATTAATGGCCCAACATCTATTTTTTAAAAATTAAAACGGAAATCCACCCTCTCCCTATATATTATCATCATCCTTGCTCATTCTAACACACCATTTTCATCCAATTTTCAATCTCCTAAGCCTAATTCATTCTCTTTCTTCATTTGTTTCCTCAACAATGGCCGGTGGAAAATCCAAGTCGAAGGCCTCCAAGAAGAAGGGCAACGCTGAAGCTACGACCTCTGCACCCCAGCCGTTTCCCTATCTAGATGGCTCATTTCTTGAGTTCGGGTCGAAGAAAGAACTCACGCGCTTCCTCAATCACTTTGCCAAACGGCCGATTTCTCCACCCAGGGTGCTGCCCGAGCTATACCCTCAACAAAAGGGGTACCACGACCTCGACAATCAACTTCAAGCATCGGGTCTGTGGTCATTCGTCTCCAGGAGCTGTCAGTCCTACAATCCCGCCTTTGTCCGGGCCTTCTACTCCAATCTCCGTCGTGACGGGGACACCATCCGCAGCAGCATAAATCTCTATGACATAGAGATTGATTTGCCTACCTTTGCTCGGGTCGCAGGGCTGCCCATCCACGGTGACGACATCACGACATATGGTGGCGACGATTGGATCATCAACTTGATCCGCCACAGCAGCGCACCGACGATTCACTCAGCCCCACCGGACAAGCACCTCCTCCTCTACATCATCACCCGGATTCTTCGCCCCCGGGACAGCAGCCATACCTCGCTCTTCAACGAGGATTTGAAGGCGATTCATGCAATCATCCACGGCGCCTCCATCAATTGGGCAAAATTTGTCATGATACACATGGCAGATTGCGCCTCACTCGCCACCGAGCGGAGCTTGCCGTACGCCTTCCTCATCATGGACATCATCGTCTTCGCCGATATCCACATCGCCGGGCCAGACACGAAGATGACGAAGCTTTGGATGATCGCCGACAGCACCTTCCGGAAGAAGTCCAGAAACAGAGACGGTGCAGGCCCAAGTCGTGCACCAGCCCCCGCTCCTGCCAAAGCGTCTTTGCAATCCATAGCCGATACTCTGAATCGGCTAACCCTCACAGTGGATGGCATGGGGTAGTCAATCGAGTGGATGGACTGGACGTTGCAACGCCAACACCACGACATGATGGCATACTTCCGTGGTGTCAACTACGTTCCGCCACCTTTCGAAAGCACCATTCTCGGCCAAAACTTTGAAGGCGAGGATGAGGAGGATGACTCCTACTCTCCGTCCTCCTCCCCCGACGAGGCCGACTTTGAAGATGCGGTCGACGGCGATCCCTTGGACGTCGAGGACGACGAGGATGACGACGAGGACGCCGACTCCTAGAATCTTCTTTCTTTTAATATGATTGTATTTTTTTTAATTATTTCCATTCCGTTGTATTCCGCATTTCCCTTTTAATGAATAAAAATTACTTTTAAATCTTTTTGTTAATGACAAAAGGGAGAAGATATAAAGGTAATGCATTAATTGAGGGGGAATTTTTTTCTCAAACACTTTGTTAAAAATCAAATTATATTTATTAAGGGGGAACATTATTTTAAATCCTCCTATGCATAACCTCGTCTTGTTTGCCATTATCAAAAAGGGGGGAATTGTTGAAACACGGGTTTGTCACGTTTTTGTACTAAAGCCGTGTTCGTCTTTATGACAGGTTTTGATAATGCCAAACCGCCGAGAACGAGACAAGTCATTGAATATACAAGGCAAAGAACGAAGATAAGAACAAGATCTAAAAGAAGACCAAGAACGAAGACCGTAGTCTTAGTTGTAACGCCCTGCAACCCGGTCTAATAGAATTGATTAATTTAATTAATTAATTACTGTTCCGGACCGGGGTTGGGAAAATGAAAAGTTCTTAGAAAAATTATTTGATCATATCATTAAATTCGTCTTGACTGTCTTATTCTAGAAACGCAAACAGATTTCAATTCGGACTTGTTTGGGGGGGGGGAAACGCGTACCGTTCAGGTCAGATTTTACATTTCGGAGTAGAGTAAATATTTGTAACCTCCATCCCATTCACACGCCACTCTAATCATGCCCACTTAAGTCCCCATTACTTGCTTCATTATTATTCTTATTTTAAAACCCCCATCCCATCCTTTTCCTCCTTCACTTTGTAACCCCCATATTCAACACACCACCACTCTCTCTTCCCTTTTCTCTTGATTCGGCCAAAGCAGCAGCAGCACCAAGGGGAATTCTGGTAGTAGACGCGGAGGAGGGAGAGAGGGAAGTGCACGTGTGAAGCAGGCCGTTCGTTTGTTCGTCGGTTGTCCGTTCATTAGCACCATTCGTTCATCTCGTTCCATCAATCCCTCCATTTAGAGGTGAGTAATTG